CTGCCAGATGGTACAGACAGATGTAAGTGTGGTGCTGCCATCCCTGCTGGGCTCTGCCCTGGGCTTGGATTTCCCTCACGTGGCCAAAGCCTGGGTGGGAGTTGAGCATCGTCCCTCCTTTTGGGTGGGTGCTGCGTCAAGTGAGCCCTTCACTGGGTCCTGCTCTTTTTAATCCCCTTCCCAGAGTCATAAAATCATTTAGGTTGGAAAGGTCCTTAAGACCACTGAGTCCAACCATTCCCCCAGCACTGCCAAGGCCACCACCAACACATGTCCCCAAGTGCCCCAAGGGATTTTAAATCCCTCCAAGGATGGGGACTCCACCACTGCCCTGAGTAGCTGTGCCAGGGCTGTACAACCACTTCCATGAAGACATTTTCCCCAGTATTCAACCTAAACCTCCCCTGGCACAGCTTGAGGCCTTTCTCTCTCCTCCTGTCCCTTGTTCCCTGGGAGCAGAGCCCGACCCCCCCCGGCTCCCCCCTCCTGTCAGGGAATTGCAGAGCCAGAAGGTCCCCCCTGAGCCTCCTTTTCTCGGAGAACATTTTGGGTCACTTTAGCTTTGCCTGGTGCAGCAAATAATGTCCCAGTCCCCATTTAGTGACAGAAAGATTGTCCCTTTACTTCCCTAGGGTCTCAGGGGGGACACCAGGTGCCCAGTGAGCACGGGGTGGGCAGTGGTGTGGTGGGATTGCATCCAACATGTGCAGGGGCACCAGGATGTGCTCCCCGGGCATGGAACAGGGACCGATGGCTCCTCCCTTCAACCCCTGCAGATGCAGTATGTGTTCATATACCAAGCACTTCTGGAGCACTATCTCTACGGTGACACGGAGCTGGAGGTGACCTCCTTGGAGATCCACCTCCAGAAGATCTACAACAAAGTGCCAGGGACCAGCAGCAACGGGCTGGAAGAGGAGTTCAAGGTGAGCGTGGCTGTTGTTGTCCTGGTGGGATCTGGTTGGGGTGGCGCTGGGCTGCGGGGACCAGCGTGTGTTTGCCTGGCTCTGAAACCTGCCCCTGCTCTGCTCCTGCCCCTGCAGAAGCTCACCTCAATCAAAATCCAGAACGACAAGATGAGAACGGGCAACCTGCCAGCGAACATGAAGAAGAACAGGGTGCTTCAGATAATTCCATGTGAGGATGGTTTGTCTGCCTGTCTGGTGCGGGGGTGGGGACAGGAGTCCAGCTGGAGAAATGGGCCGACAGGGACCTGGCGATGCTCGTCAAGGAAAAGTGCCAAGTCCTGGGGAGGAGCAACCTCCCAGGCACCGGCGTGTGCTGGAGCCACCCAGCTGGGAAGGAGCTTGGCAGGAAAGGACTTGTGGTCCCTGGTGGGCACCAACCTGACCCTGAGTCCTTGTGACAAAGGGCAGGGGTGTCCTGGGCTGTGAGAGACAAAGAAGTGCCAGGAGGTCAGGGAGGGGGTCCTGCCCCTCTGCCCAGCACTGGTGAGGCCACACCAGCAGCACTGGGTCCAGTTCTGGCTCCCCAGCACCAGAGAGACAGGGACAGGCTGCAGAGAGCCCAGGGGAGGCACTGGAGCACCTCTGCTCTGAGGAAAGGCTGAGAGAGCTGGGACAGCTCAGCCTGGAGAAGAGAAGGCTCCGGGGTCTCATCAGTGCCCATCAACACCTGCAGGGAGGGTGCAGAGGACGGAGCCAGGCTCTGCCCTGTGGTGCCCAGTGACAGGACAGGGGACAATGGGCACACACTGAGACACAGGAGGGTCCCTGTGAACGTCAGGGAACACGTTCTGACTGTGAGAGTGACCAAGCACTGGCACAGGTTGCCCAGGGAGGTTGTGGAGTCTCCATCCTTGGAGATACTCAAAATGTATCTGGACAGATGGGCAACCAGCTGTGTGTGGCCCTGCTAGATGGCTTTTGCTGCCAGGGCTTTGTACCTTGAGGGGAAGGGAGTCCTAGTGCTGAGCAGGTCCTTCTGGAGTGCTCAGCATCCCCTTCTCCTTCCCCAAACCAGGGCATGGCAGAGGGTGGAGCTGACTGTCCTTGTCCCAGTCAGGTGCTGTAAGCACAGGACTCCCCTTCTCTTATCTCTGTGTCCTACTTAGCCCTTGGTGACTTCTCAGCTAAAAGTTGGTTATCCATGAGTTGTGATTTGAAGGAGTTCCCCAAATCTCATGTCATTTTGTTCTGTTTCAGATGAGTTCAACCGAGTAATCATTCCAGTGAAGAGAGGTGAAGAGAACACGGATTACGTAAACGCTTCCTTCATTGATGTGAGTCTTCTTTACTCTCCTCTCCATCTTCTCCCAATGGAAACTTCACCTCAGGCTGCTTCCTGGGGGAAGGATTTGTCCCAAACACTCCTTCTCTGAGTCTCATAAGGCTCTTTTCACTTGACTTTGCTTTTGTGTCACCGGATGGTGCTGGTTTCTGTCTCCAAGAAACCCCTTGGTATTCCCAGCTCCTCGTGTCCCACGGCTGATGGGAGAGGAGAGCTGGAGCCTGAGCAGAGCCTCCAAGTCCTGGGCTCGCTTCTGCAGCTCTGGTCTCTGCTGATGGCTGTGGAGAATTGTATCCATGGAAATGACGCAGCACTGGCCATTTGGTCAGAAAACATCCACTAGATTAGGTAATGGAGCAATACACGATCCCAAAACCCTCGAGGAGAACCAGGTCAATCCCATTATACCTGTCTGGGTGATGGGAGGAGGTGAGGCAGGGAGGTTAAGTGCTTTCCTCACTCTGGGGAGGAGGTAAGTGATTGCACATCCTTTTCTCCTGAGCCATCCTGTGGGCTCCAGGGAGACATCTCGGATGAGTATTTATCTTCATGCAGTGCTGGCCAAGCGACAGACCCTGCTCTTTTTCCAGCCCAATTTCTACTTTCATCTCCTAATGGCAGGGTTTTTTTTTAACCCCCAAAAGGCAATCACTGCCGTGGGTTGATCCACTAAAACCAGTTTGTTCCCAGTTCTAACATCCCCAATTAATTGCTCCCTGAAATCTCCTCTGCTGGATCCCCATGGGTGGCTCTGGCTGTGGGAGCAGCTGCCTTGTTGTGGCTCCAGAGCAGAAAGCTTCCGAAACACGCAAGCAATTTCGGTTGAGGATTCAATTTCCTGCCTCTGCTGAACTTTGCTTCAATGACAAACTCCAAATGACGAAGCATCTTTAATCACAGTCTGCAGTGAGGGCACAGGGGAACGTCAGAGGGGTTTGGGAACAGAAATACTTTGTGGCTGTGGAAGAGCCAGAGTCACCCAGACTTCCTGCTGGTTTCCATAGGTCACAGAACCGTTTGGGTTGGAAGGGACCTTAAAAATCATCTAGTTCCTTTTAGTTTTGCTTACTTCTTCCAAAAATCCCCAGTAAAAATCATACCTGAATACCCAGAGCTTAGGCAAGGCACTCAGAGTTTGCAATATTTGTCAGGCTTGCTGGAAACCCAAATCATTCTTCCCTGAATGGATAAAAAGTAGGGAATGTGATCCTCCCTGGGCTTGGTAACCCAACCATGTCCAAGAGCATTCCTCCTGCTGCTCCTGGCCATCTGGGTGCTTCCAGTTCACCACTAACCCTGTTCCCGAATTCCAGGGTTATCGCCAGAAGGATTCCTACATCGCCAGCCAAGGGCCGCTGCAGCACACGATAGAGGACTTCTGGAGGATGATCTGGGAGTGGAAATCCTGCTCCATAGTGATGCTGACGGAGCTGGAGGAGAGAGGCCAGGTAAGCTCCCCGTAACAGCTGCATTAAACACCAGCAAAATAAAGAAATGGCAGGGAGTTGGAACGAGATGGTCTTGAAGGTCCCTTCCAACCCAAACCAGTCTGTGATTCTGGGAGTCTGGGATCCCACCTGGTTTTGGGCAGCTGCAGGCCCCGGGAAGACCCCTCTATCCAGTCCCATTGGAAAAGTAGGGGGTGCTCAGCCTGTCTCCCCCCGTGATGCTTCCTCAGGAGAAGTGTGCCCAGTACTGGCCGTCCGACGGCTCCGTGTCCTACGGAGACATCACTGTGGAGCTGAAAAAAGAGGAGGAGTGCGAGAGCTACACGGTGCGGGACCTGCTGGTGACAAACACCAGGGTGAGAGTCCGGATTCTGTCCTGGGGAGCTCTGGGTGCTCCTGGGTTTGGCTGCCATGAGCCCTTGCTGGTGTTTTCTTCTGCTCCATCATCGCCCCGTCATTCCAAAGGGATTTTATCCCTACCTTCCCACCCCTGAGAGTTCCTGTCCTTCCCTCTGCCCTGCTACCACCCAGCAGCCCTCACCCTCCTCCACCTTGTCTCTGTTCCCACCTGGACCCAGCCTCCCTCCTCCTCCCCATTCCCCACATTCCCCCTGCTCCGTGCCACGGGAATTCCACCCCTCCACCAGCATCTTTCCCGCAGGGATGGTTTTCCCAAAGCCCCGAGCTGGCGGGCTCCCTGGTGCAGATCTCCCACCTGACCCCGAGCTGTGCTCTCCCGCCAGGAAAACAAGAGCCGGCAGATCCGGCAGTTCCATTTCCACGGCTGGCCAGAAGTCGGGATCCCCGGGGACGGGAAGGGGATGATCAACATCATCGCGGCAGTGCAGAAGCAGCAGCAGCAGTCTGGCAACCACCCCATCACTGTGCACTGCAGGTAAAGGGCTGGGGGGCAGCTTGGACACCCCTCCAAAGGGACCGGGAGCTTGGGAGATGGTCAGAGCCCCACGGCGTGTCCTGGATATTCTGGAAGAGGCTGGGGCAGCATCGTTGGCTCCTCCAGTTCTCTGGCGCTTCCCCCATGGATTGTGCCCTGAGCAAAGCCAGCAGGGTCAGGGCAGGCATTTTCCCTCACCCTCTGGTTTCTCTTCCCCAGTGCTGGAGCAGGAAGAACAGGCACCTTCTGTGCGCTGAGCACCGTCCTGGAGAGGGTGAAGGCAGAGGCGATCCTGGACGTCTTTCAGACAGTGAAGAGTTTAAGACTACAGAGGCCACACATGGTGCAGACACTGGTAAGGGCCTCCTGCCACGCCAAAACCTTGGCAAGGACGGGCTGGGGGCTCAGTGCTGAGCAGAAACCTCCTTGGTTCGAGGTTTGCCCTCTCCATGAGGGAAGTTGTGGATTCCCCTGGATCCCTGGAAGTGTCCAAGGTCAGGTCGGGTGGGGCTCTGAGCAAGCTGGGATAGTGGGAGGTGTCCCTGCCCATGGCAGGGGGTTGGAGATGGTCTTTAAGGTGCCTTCCAACCCAAACCGTTCTAGGATTCCATGATTCCACGGAGATGTGCCAGGAGGTGTCTGCCCTTCCTCTTCTTAAGGCATCTGGAAGAGGTGCTGAAGGCATCAAGCGCCTTTTGAGCACCAAATGGAGCTGTGGGAGCCTCGTTGGAGGCATCCCCAACCACAGTCCCACATTTACGGGCTCCAGGAACCTGGAACACGGTCCTGGAGTGGCTGTGGCACAGGCTTGGGCACACAGGGAGGGTTGGAGCAGGCAGGGCTGGATGAGATCTTGCCAGAGGGGTTTGCAAGGATGAGCAGGGATGCAGGAAAAAAATCTTTTGGGGTTGAAACAGGACTTGAGAGAGGAAGCAGAAAGCAGAGGGTTTCTTTTGCTGTTGGCACCTCAGCAAGGGGGGTGGGTTTGGGGGTCACAAAGGAGAGGTGGGAGCTCAGGGGTGGGTGGTCCCAGCTTCCCAAGAAGAGCACAAAACATCCAATGATGTCCAAGGTGTGGATTTTCGTGGCCTAACACCGTTCTCTCCCCGAATCCCACAGGAACAGTACGAATTCTGCTACAAGGTGGTGCAGGAATACATCGACGCCTTCTCAGACTACGCCAACTTCAAGTGAAGACAAAAAAAAAAAAAACCAACCAGGAACAAAAAAT